TTTTGCACGTGGCACGTGCATAAGGGGTCACCCACATGCATCGGCAATAGTCCAATACTTGGTAGAAGGAATGAAGCTACCCTACAAAAAATACCGCATGTAAATCGGTCGAGTGGTTGCTGAGAAATGAGCCTCGCAAAACCGTCCGCACGGCCGGCTGGCCGCTCATACTCAGAAATTGCCGTTAACCCGCGACCGCCTGGGGGGGGGGGGGGGGGGGGGCGGCTCGGATCCGACCCTCCTTCCCTTTTCTTGAATAACTCATGAACTGCTTACGCTATCAACTTGAAACTTGGCATACTTTCTTCCCCATCAATTTGACGTCTCCTGTGTAATTTTTAAGAAAATTTTTCCATTTTTTTGATATATCGATTTTAGTGATGTTACTACATGGCGTTTTCAGTCAAAAAGTGGTAAATGTTTAAAAAATCGCCAAAAAATCAAGGTTTAAAGAAAATTGCATATTAAAGACATGAATAGACGCACCTCAGCGAGTTTTTAAAAATGGCTATCTCGGATTTTCCATAAAATGCGTTTTTCACCCCTAAAAATTCAAAAAATTATATTTTTTGGAAAACAGCTAATAAAATCCAAAATCTTGAGAATTTCCAAAAAATCGGAATATATGTTATAGAGATCTGTTAGAACATTAGATGTCCCTAATTTCAGCTTTCTATCTTGATTTTTGACCCCCAAAATGGTAAAAAATAGCTCCAACATGCATGGGGCATGGTGACGTCATAAACATTTTCGTGAATTAGAGGCACTTCTGAACATCGCATGTGAAAACAAATGGCACCACTAGATTCCTGGGACAAAGTTCGTCTAGAAAACTGCATTTTTATGTCAAAAATAAAACGCTGAAAAATTGACTTTTTTTCTTAGCCCTCGTTTAGTTATGTATGGTATAAACGAATTTGTATGCTTTCAATGCACACTTATCACCAGCACAGTGACTTGGGGTCACATATCGACACCTTTTTTTAAACCCCACATTTGTTCTCCGTTGAATTTCAGACAAGTTGGTTAGAGACCTTCAAAAAAAGGTACAATCACTCGATTTTTCTCAAGTTTGTCTGTCTTGGCAGATAAAGCAATACCAGAACAGGTCTACGAACACACATATTTGATCAGGATCGGACGATTGGACACTTTTAAAAGGAGATCTTTCGTGCCTCCCGGAAATTCACGGTAGAGCAGATGTGGGGTTTAAAAAAAGGTGTCGATGTAACCATTACCATCGGATTCGGCGTGAAAAATAAGCCATAAAACATGTGTCGCACGCCCATGTAGTAAAAAGTGAAAACTGTGACCTTTTGTGACCTGACCTGACCTTGACCCGTACTTAGTATGACCCCTATACGCACATGGTACCTTCACTAGGCCTTTGAGGTCATTTTTGGTGAGTTTCGAGCAGCAGCTATCGATTCCGCTGTCGGTAAGCCTAATCATGCAAAACCCCAGAATTGGACCTTTGACCTGACCTTGACCCGAAAGTTGACCTCAATCTTAAAATCTTAAGAGTGCTTTGGGAAGGTCTTGTAGAGACCTTTCGAACGCCGCCTCGCGGGGTTCGATACGACCATTGGTTCTCGATATAACAGTGGGGGGGGGGGGGGGTCGGATCGGACCCCACAAGCTGTCGTGGGTGCGGAAATAGCCCTGGCGGTGCCGGGTTAATCTAAGGAAAGACTACGCTCGCTTTGCTCGCTCTGTAATAATTCTACCTTTTTACTATTTTAACAGAATCCGTCTGTTTGTCTGTCCGTACATCGTGTAGTGGGTTCAATCTGTCACGCCTACAGGGCAGACGATATGCGGTAGGAGGCTGAAATTTGCACACCTTAAAGGTGACGTCACGGGTCAGCGCCTTTTCTAGGTTTCCACTCGCTGGGGTGCACGGTTTGGCACGTAGCGCGCGCTGGGAGAACGCCAATGAAATTTTGCTCGGTTCGTAGATCTTCATTGATAGCCAGGGTCGACGAACTTTGTGGACTAAATGCATGCCGATCGGCGGCGGGTGCCTCGCATTGGCGGATAGGCAGGTTATTGATTTTGATAAATAGTGGCGAAAAAATGTGTAGTTTTTCTTTCGATTTGAACCGTTTGTGACATGAGTATACAAATGCACCGCGTTTGCCGCAAAGCGTCACATTAGTCACAGGGCGCCATTTTTGCCGCAAATCGCACAACTTTGTCAAATATGGTCCGATACGGGTGCAATTTGGTGCAAAGATGCATGCTCAATCGCCGGGTGAAAATGCGCCGCGTTTGTCGCAATGCGCCACATTTGCCACAAAACGCTATTTCCGACAAAATAGATTAAGGGTAATGGAATTGCACGAATAGGAGCAGGACTAGGAACACTTTTAAAGTATGATTTTGAGCACTTATTGGATCCAATTAGTCTGTGACCTGTCATGACCCAGCGGTATTGGTAGGGGTGGGGGTAGGGGTAGAGGTAGGGGTAGGGTAGTGGTAGGGGTAGAGGTAGGGCTAGCTTAGTGGTAGTAGTAGTGGTAGGGGTAGTAGTAGGGGTAGTAGTAGGGGTAGTAGGAGGGGTAGTGGTAGTGGTAGGGGTAGTGGTGGAGGCAAAAGTAGAAGTGTGACCCGGGCTGATCCCGTCTGACAGGTGACCTACGTGACCTGGCCTGACCCAATGTGACCGGGGCTGACCCCCTTGACCCGTCTTGACCCCGTATCAGCCAAATCTCATCCAACAAAGGCCTCAGAACAGTTTAACCCTCGCCGGCCGAGGAGGGGGGGGGGTGCCGCCCCCCATAGGGTTTTTTTCGCGATAGCTCCGAACACGCTGGCGATAGAGAGCTGAAACTTGGCATACCTGACCTTTGATCCAAGCCGCATCTTTTGACACCAACCGCATTTTTGGGTCAGGTCAGGTCACTGACCTATGACGTCATAAGTGAACCTCTGCACGGTCTTCAGATGTCGCAACTTCGCAACGCCCTCACTGCCAGAGGAGATGTCACAGGGAAATGAAACTTGCAGGATCTAGTATCCATTATGAGTCTCACAACTTGTATATCTCGGATTTTTCCTTAAGGTCATATGAGGTCAGTTCATTTTCGTGACCTCACCATTATAAGTCAATGGGGAAAAATTCAAACTGCTATTCTGGCGCCGGAAACGATCTCCAACTATCTCAAGCACACAGAATCGTGATTTGATGCACTCCTTGCAAGGTTAGATGCGTCACTTTTGCAATGTTGACCTTCCGTGACGTGATTTATGACGTCATCAAGGTCATATTAGTTTTTCGTCAATAACTCCCGATCAAATTGAGCTAGCGAGTCGGGAAAGCCACCAATGGACTCAGGAAGACCTGCCGAATCGAATGATATGCGACATGACCTCTTTCGACCAACTTCGTGACCTGGGGGTGCTGACCTGACCTTGACCTGAGGTCAACACCCTAAGTTGACCTGACCCGAACAAAAAGTATATCATTCGACGCGCCTGAGCAAGGCGAACACGATGCTGCCAAAATCGCGGCTCTGGGCCGTTTTTTGCGAAGTTATTCACCAAAAACTGAACCGTACCCTGGGGCACTTGACCTGACCTCAGAGGTCACCGGTTGACCTAGGACATTAAAATCGGGTACCAATCTCTGCGTCTCGTAACGGCGCACACGCTCGTTTTTTCAGCGACGCGCTAGCTCCACCAGGGGCGAAACGGCGAGGGGGGGGGGTCGTACCCGCCCCCCCCCCCTCGGCCGGCGCGTATGTAGAAAACCAATAGGTCCGGCGAGGGTTAATTCTCTTTACATTTCCGCCCATATCAATGCTTCTAGACGACACATCGATTTGAATCGAACACCATTCGAAAGCAAATTGACTGGTGCCGCATTTTATGACCACGCAGCAAAGCAAGTGGCGCAGCCGCTTGTCTATATTATTATTTGTGGTGACGTAGTTTCTGTCTGTTACCGAGGTCGCCACATGGTGCTACGTAGCGCGGTTACAGATCACACCGTTGCACCTACCGCGCTGAAATTTGCGCAACTTATAGAACGAGGATGGACAACGTGTCTTTGAGCGGTCTCGACTCGATCGGATCGATAGCGAGCGCGTGGCGCGTGCCCAAAAAGTGCAAATTCGCGTCATAGACTTCACATGTATAAATCGGCTTGCAAAATCGGGCAAAAATGGCTAAATTTACCCGACACGGGTCCGGTTCCCGTTCAATATCTCGGTAACCGTGCGCCCGATCGTCACGGAGAAAATAGCATCGTGTGGAGAATCGAACGGGCTATCGAATGGTGTGCGATGCAGTGGATGGCACGTGCTACGTGCACATGTGAGGGCAATTTCATTTCAAAAGTGCCGTTTTAAATGGATTTTATTTTATTTTCACGTGACTGTCAGATTGAGAGCGTTAAAACAATGCCTAGTGGCAAGGGAAATGTACCGCCTCTCATATAAAAATTATGAAAAGCTAATTGATCAAAAACAAGGTGGAACAACTCGCTGGAGAAAATGGTATTTGTCCATAATGTGCCACTAAATAGTTACACGGGATTTGCTGCTTAACCTGATACGTTTGGCAATTGAAAATGGTATCATTAGAAAGAGCATTCAATTCTCTCCAAGATCCAATCATCACGTTTGCATGGCAAGCTACAGTATTCTAAAAAATAAAAAAAATGTTTCAAACCTCTGCAAACCATTTTTAGCGAAAATTATCTAGCCTTTCATTTGTCATAAAACTACGCACCTAAATAATTAAATACATTTGACAGGTTCACTGAACCTGTCTGAACCAGTTATTACCACACCCTTCCGGCTGATGTATTTGAATATGCCAGGCATACAGTAAAATGGAGTCCAGCCTTTTTTGCTGACCGTCAAACAGTGATGCACATCGCCGATGGGCTATTCTGAATGACGCTTGTTCAAACTGATGCCGAAATGGTTTTGACGATTGGCCATCGAACAACGCAAAATGTGTAGTAACTGACGCATTGATGTGCTCTTTCTCAGGCAGCGACTCTGAGGTGCCGACAGGCAAACAGCTGATTGGAAAACGGAAAGACAAGAAGGACAAAGACATTGGCTACGCCGCTCTGGGCGAGAGCTCCGGCGACGATGATGAGGATGGAAGGTAAGTTTAATGCATTACTATAGTCAGCTTCTTTATAGCCTGTCTTATCACTAAGCGCTGTAATGAAAAACGTACGTGAAGCCGGCAAACTTGTGCCGTGACCAAAAATCAAGATCCACGATTCTCAAGGTCCCACGGCAAATTCAATTTTTAGAATCCAAGGTTTCCAAGGTCCCACGGCAAGTATACATTGCAGGATCCACAGTCCCAAAGGTCCCACGACAAGTATAACTTTCAGGATCAACAGTCCCCAAGGTCCCACGACATCTCAGAATCCACAGTATCCAACATATTCATGACCCATGGGTGTAACTTAATATCTCCTATGGAATGCCTGAACACTAGACGACTGCGTGCGCCGGCTGCAGCCGAGGCTGGCTGCATCCCCACGGCTATGGGGCGGGGCGGCTGCAAATATCTCCAAGAACACGGCTACGGCTGTGGCCACGGCTGTGATATTTCAAGCTCAATCTTATATGTAGAATATCCAAGACAGTTAGGATGAATGATAACAATAACAAGTCAAATGTATATTTAGACACACAAAAGTCGAGGCTCGACCTCCCACTTATCCGGACCAAAAAATTGAAATGGAGTGCGCTCAAGAGCAAGTCAGAAAGGTAGAAAACGCCGTATATCATGTGTGTTGGCATTCTTCTGCATTTTACCTAGTCAGCGACATGGATATTAGCTTTTAGCATAACATTCTGTCAGCAGGATGAGTATCACTCAGGTAGCAATTTTTGGATATGTTGCGCTAGGAAAGTGTTTTAATAAATGTTTATGCAACGAATGTATTGATTCGTTGAAAGATCACAAGCTGAAGCGAGAACGCATTTATACGGTTTACGTGGAAGTAACACCGAAGAAAGCCTATGGAGACTGCAACGCCTGAAATGGTCAGGAAAGGGTTACGATAGACAAGGTGCGCTGGTTCTTAACATTAAATGATTTTTTTATCATCATTTCATGTCATAATAAGGCTAGATGCAAGTGGTTTTTGCTATAGGAAGTGAATTGATTTTTTTTACCCCACTTTCGAGACACCTATAATGAGCTTTTAACGGTGCACGGTAAGCGCAGCCTGACATATTTTTCGTACGGCGCGCCCCTAACCCCCAACAAACAAACAAACAATACTTTTCGTATTTCTGATACATTTAACTTTAAATTCTTGTCCCCAATCCGCTCAAATTTGTATTGGCCTGCTTCTGATGACGTCGCACGTAGCGCCGCGAAGGCATCGACCACGGGGATTGGATCCTCTCGCACAAGCAGCGTACCACTGCCACCTTCAGGGGAGTCCAGGTATCGTGCCACCAGCATCACCAGCTCTCTGTTCGCCGCGTCTGTGGTCTCATCGGCCACCAAGACCCAGGCAGTAGAATCGTTTACCTTGGCCGATATTCCTTCCTTGACTAGGTCGGGGATGTCCTGCAGGAGCTCAGTTTGGACGCGATTGCTAATGTACAGTGTGTCTAAAAAGAATGTACCGTCGCCACTACGTGGCGCTGGTGTCGCGAGCCGGTAGTTGGCTGAATCCGCACCAGACCACACATTCCCAGGCCCGCTAGGTGACAGCTGCGCAGCGGCCGGTAGTAGCGTAAGCCCGAACCTTCGTGACACGACCCCGGGGGGGGGGGGGGAGAGGGGAGCGGGCGAGGCAGCGCGTGTGGGGAGGGGTGCTCCAGCAAGCTGGCAGTTGTCGCGGCCAAAGGTCAAGGGGTCACACACCAAGCGAACGGACGCTGATGTGGGTTCGTGGGGATCATGAACTTGTGTGTGGTAGGTGCGTCTTGCGATGCACGGGTGATACGCCAGGTCTAAGCCAAAGGATTCAGGGGAGAGCTGAAGAAAAACACCTGGTCAACTACGGCGAATAATAGTGCTGAAAAATGGAAAGTATGGGTCAATGCAAGCCTTCATGACTATAAACAACTTTCTGAGGACGCAAAGGCCAGCATTGAATAACGATATCCGGATCGAAATTAGCAATGATTTATAATTAAATGCCGAACTAATAGCGCTGCAAAACCTTCCTAGTAAATTGTCAAGTCGGATTATACCCACTTGAATTAAACTATCCTAAATAAAATTATTAATTAACTTTCTAACACTGACGTTCTTTATCATACGATAATATGGGGTTAACCAAGATTCAGCATCTTCCGCGTTCAAACAATCACCTGTAAGGCTAGAACATTAATGGCCAGGTAAAAACATGGTCGGGATTTGATTAACCGGATAATAAGTCGATTTTTTTTAGTCGGGATTTGATAAGTCTGATTTTTTTACGCCAACCGCATTTTTAAGTCAAGTCAGGTCACTGATCTATGACGTCATAAATGAGCAGTCCTAAAATGAACTGTGTGAAACTGTCCTAAACTGTCCTCAACATTTTAGGACTGTGTGCACACTCCTAAAATGTTTAACTTCGCTACACCCTCAGTGCAGAGCTTTCATAGGGAGATGAAACTTACAGGATCTTATAGTATGATCGAGAGTCTCACAACTTGTATAAATGTATATCTCGGATTTTCTGAAGGGTCGCCTGAGATCAGGTCAGTCTCTCACCATTAAAAGTCAGTGGAATATGGAAACTGCTAGTTTGGTCCGGAAATGATATACAACTATCTCAAATTCTCAAGCACACGGAATCGTGATTTCATGCACTCCTTGCAAGGTCTGATGCTTTAATTTTGCTTTGTTGATCTTGCGTGACGTCATTTATCACGTAACCAAGGGTATCAGTTTTTCGTCAATAACTCCCGATCAACTCAAGCTACCGAGTCGATAAAGCCACTAATGGACATGAAAAGACCTGCCGAATCGATTGATATGCAATATGACCTCCTTTGACCAGCTTCGTGACCTGACGGGCTGTGACCTGACCTTGACCCGAGGTTAACACCTTAACTCTCGCCCATATTGGTGTTTTTCCAGCCGCAAACGTATAAGGGGGGGGGGGGCCGTTGGACCCTCCCTTGCCGTTTCGCCCCTGATCGAGCTAGAGCTTCGCGGAAAAAACGAGCGTGTTGGCCGTGACGAGAGGAAGTCGATGATACCCAATTTTAAGGTCCTAGGTCATCGGTTGACTTTCCAGGTCAGGTCAATGACCCAAAAGTCGGGAAAATCGGGCCTGTTAGAAAGTCGTAAAGCGTGGCTGCTATGGGGTTTTCGGGGTGCTGTATTTGTATTTGTATTTGTATTTGTATTTACGATCATGGGCGATCCACACATGGCGTGGCGATTACATATCATGTTAGTTTTGATCACAGATGATGTCTTCATGCATTTAGGCCAGGTCGGGTCAGGTCAGGTCAGGTCAACAAGTAAGGGTATTCGTAGTAGGTGGCAACCGCCTCTGACAGCTTCGCAACATGTCACGAGGGCACCAAAACTACTTCGTAAATGTTCATATGGCTGCTAAATTCGAATTCAGCTCCTAAAACTGGCCTAGAAACATGTAAAACTCGAAAAAGTGAACCGAGGTTATCAAAGGTCAATGACCTGACCTGACTTTCCGGTGACTTTGACACCCACCCTAATGCATGGAAGCAACATCATATCCCATGTTTGAACGCTTAAAACCACGAAAAGACTGCAAACGCGCCGCTAATGCGAGCCGACATACGCCGAATCGCGATTCCGGCCAAACATGGTCTCGAAAAGTAGGTCGCAGGTCAAAGGTCATTAAGGTCAGGGTCATGACAATTTCAGGGTGGGTGTAAAATTGATTAACGCGAGGGTAACGAAAGTTTCGTCGCGATCGGCCGCTTTTTACGCGAGTTATTCGCGAAAAACCGAGGGAGGGGGGTCCGTTCGACCCCCCCCCCCTCTATACGGGCGAGGGTTAAGTTGATCTCACCCGAAGAAAAAGTATACCATTCGACACGCCTGAGCTAGACAAACACGATGCTGCTAAAATCGCGGATCTGCGATCATTTTTAGCGAAGTTATTTACCAAAAACCGAACCTGTGCCTTGGGCCACTTGACCTGACCTCCGAAGTCATCGGCTGACCCTGGTCCTTAAATCGGAGACCAATCGCTGCATTTCGTAACGACGCACACGATCGTTTCTTTCGTGAGGCTCTAGCTCAATTAGGGGCGAATCGGCGAAGGGGGTTGTTTCCTCACTTCCAACCCCCAACGTCCCTCGGTATTCAGAAAACCTGAAGGTCCGGTGAGGGTTAAAAGGTTTCTCCTGAACGAGGAAGAAATGTAAAAGTCAAAGCTCTATAGACGTCCTGTAAAAGTGGCCATAATAATAAATTCGTTGGAAATAAGATGCTTTTTAAACGACTTCCTCATGTAAAATCGGGTGCTGGGACCAATCTTATAAACGCTTTAGAATGGACAGGGCGTCACTGGCTAAAGTTTGGGTGCAGAAAACGGCTATTACCTAAATGCAAAATGGTTTTCATGCATTTCAGTCAATTGTATATTGTCGGTCCCAGTGGCCGAGCTAAAAAAAAAATCGGTAGTGTTTTGCGTCTTTTACGCCCTAAGAAACTACACCATCTATCGAAGTGGGCGGGCTTATTTGAATGGGAGGGCGCATTATGCACGAATCGAGTGCTTTCGTTTATTTTGGACTGTATTTTACCACATCCACTGCTGGTATCACTATTAATATTATCTAATGCCGTGAATAGGACAGCATTCCATTTATAAGATTGGGCCAATGGAGTCGCGCCCGCGAGCTCGGTTTTCCGCTGGGCCGCTACAGGCCAGGAAGTCGGTCTTCGCCTGAGGGCAGGACAAAGGTCAGCGAGGGAGCGCGGGGTCAGCCAGGTATCGCCAAGTGCCGAGCGGATGCCGCTCCCTCCCCTCTCTTCCCCTCTTCTCCCCTCCCCACCTCGGTATAGATGGGGAGGGACCGAACTGCCAATGACATGCGAGCGGTCAAGGCCGCTCGCGCGGCAGCGACCCTGGCGGCCGGATGCCGCAACTGGGATTCAGCCAAGTTACCGATTCGCCTCCTGTGGGAGAGCCAAACCAGGGGACATACTTTTTAGATATACTGTACTGCGCGTTACCTGGTGCTGTCTTCAGGTGCTCTTGAAGTATACAGTGTCACCAGCCTCTGCCCGAAAGCGGAGCGAGTGCCGGAAGTTTCCGTCGTTGGATGCCGCCACACACTCGCCATCGCCAGGGTCAATGCGTCCTGTGTCCTTGGCCTCGTTTCATAAAACTCTGCCGTAACTTACACCTTTCCGTAATTCACACCCTTTCAAACTACGGAGCGCAAATAAATCCGTTTCACAAAGCCACAACTGGAATTGTTTACACCTCCGTAACTAAGCACGTTTGCGTAGTTACCGTAATTTATCAAGCGTCCTACAAATTACAATTTCATGTCAACACTTATTTTTTACGACAATTTAGAAAACAATTATGTTGAATTTAAATCTTAAAAATTATTTTATGAAAAAACAAAATTGATATTGATGACCATCCTTTTGAAAAACAATATATTAAAAACAGCAGAAAGCCAGCTAAGCAGAAGTGCCTATCTACGAAAGTGGCGCGGCGCGGCGAATAAACAAAATCCCGATAGTGGCCACAAAAAGTGACTGGTACAGAAGATTTGCAGTTTCTTTTTTCTCATTTTGGCTGTTCTTTCTTCCTCACCGGGCTCAACATTATAAAATATATTAAAAATTAGCTTCGAATCTTCACATGAATTCAAAATCACGCAACATTTCTGTGCGTAGTTTACACCACTGATATCAAGAGCTTGATAAAATATTTGGCGTTAATTACGTCGTTTTATGAAACCCAAATGGCATCAATTGGTCCGGAATCGAGCATTTGCCGTAAATGAAGCTCCGTAATTTCGATGGCGTGAATTACTCCGGTCTCCGGCTTTATGAAACCGAATTGGCATCAAATACGCCAAATCTGGCATAATTGACGGAACGCCGTAAGTAATTCCTTTTATGAAACGAGGCCCTTGTGACCGCGAAGAGATATGTTTTGGGTAGCAGCGAGCTTCAGCGTCTTGATTATTGAACTTAGAACGGCACGGTTTTTCGCAACGAGCTGTTTGTTGGCAGATTCAGCGATCGCCGCAACAGTGACGCCTGAGCCCTTGCTCCTCAGCTTGAACTCCGCTTCCCGCTGCCAGTTTGTTTGGTGATAGCTCGTCCTCTCGTGCGAATCGAGCGCTCCTTGTTTCCC